TAATCATATTAAGTATCATAACATATTTAACTAATTCAAATAAACTAAACATAATAATTAAATCAAAAATATAAACATGCTTCATTATTTTTGAAGTTACATTGCAAAGTGTAAGGAAAGAAATATACCTAAAGAGATGATGACAAAACAATGATGAAAGCAAAACTCAATTCAACTCCCAAAAGACCACCAAAGATGAAATATATATATATTTTTCTTTTAGAAGTTATGATTTTCCCTCTTCTAATTTTCTGTACTTGTTTTTTTTTCTTCTTCCTCTTTAATGAAATAAGAATGGGGGTTTAAATAGGTGTTGAGCATTAAACCCCCCCACTCTTCTTGAAAACTTAAGAGCCAATGCATGCATTGGACTCTTTGTTTTCCCAAGGTGCCACCCAAGATGACCAATTGAATTTTTTTTTCTTTTTCTTTTTTCAAGATAAAATTAATTAAAAGACTACATTGCCTTTTTAGATGACCCATTTCTTTTATTCATTAATTGAATAATAGCTAAATGGGTCATCTAAAAATTTAGAATAGGCCCAAAATGTCATTTGAGATGACCCATTTCTTGTATTCATTAATTGAATAATAGTTAAATGGGTCATCTGAAAATTTTAAAATAGGCCCAAAATTGATCAAGACCCAAAAATCAAAACAAAATCAGTCCACTAACATAAAATCTAAACATCTAAACTATTTTGAAGATCAAACACAACAAATAGGGTAGAAAAATAAAAATAAGGAATAAAACGAATTAAAAAAAAAAAAACTCAAGCAACAACTTAAACATGAACTTGAAGAACACTAACAAAACAATACAAATCCGGCATCAAAACAACTTATATGGTTTTTAAAAATGTGATATTGACGGATTTGGATAGAGGATGAGAGGGGGAAATGGTTGACAAAAATTTTCGGACGATTGGAGGTCGCCAGGGAATTTTTTTTTGACGAATTTTGGACATAAACTTTACATCCAAGGATTTCCCTTGAAGAGTTCTACACTTTTATGTAAAGGATATAGGACGAGGATGACCGAAACTTCGTAAATCTAAAGAAAAAGGTGAAGATTTATGTTTGATTTTCTTAGATCTACGGAGTTTGGCTATGAATATCAACGAATGGTTTGCGAATTTGTGTAGAGGAGGGTGAAAGAAAGAAATGGTAAAATTTTTGGAGATTTATCCGTCCAAGGGGTGGTGGCCACCGGGAGTAGTGGCGGTGGTGGTGGTGGCCGGCCGGCGGCAGGTGGAAGCAAAGGGGAGAACAACAAAAATAAAAAATGACAATAAAAATTTGATTTTGGGATTTTGTATTTTTGGTATGGTCCCATAAGAACCCTTGGATCAAAAATCATGGATGGTTAAGATTTAATCTTGACCATTTCTATTGGACCGGGTCAGAATTGATTGGGCCATCAGAATTTTGTCTAAATTAACCCAATTAAATTAAAAATTGGGTCATTTGGGCCAATTAAAAAATAATATAAACAAAGACAAAATTACCCAAAATACAAACAAAAAATATAAGACCTTACTATATATTGTAGGAGTAAATTAAACACGTCAAAAATTAGACAGCATGCCCCTCTTTGCTTGGAAACATGAAGAGCTTGCAAGTGAAGAAAGTGAACGAAGTGGCTAATTTTTGACTGTGCAAACTCCGTTGAAACCTTTTTGAAAAAGATGATCGAACCTTGCTTTAGAGGTTGCCTACATATCCTTCATTAAAAGGAAATCAGGTCAGTGTAGTTCGAGAAACTTTGATAGCTGAAACTATCAGAAATTGCGGTCAAAAGATTGCTTCACATTGCTTGTCATCATCTACCGTCTATAATTACAAAGAAGAGAGCTTAGAGAACTATGCCTCTCTACATTATAAGAGCTACAAGATCCCTACTTGTTGTTTTTTCTTAGGGTCTCGTCTTGATCTTTGACTTGCTCTGTGCGTTATCTTTGATATTGATCTTCATGCTCTCTTGGCGGCTTGCGGATCATTCTGAGGTGCATGTTTTAAGTTGAGTTGGCGGTTAAAACTCAAAATTCTAGATCACAAAATGAAGAACCCAAAAAGGATGTGTTTCTGTTAGGGAAGGAAAAAAATGAGAATTTTAAACTAGGACGTATAACCCTAGAAATAAAAGGAGAAGCGGGGTGTGTTGCCCTGAGAGTTTCAAATAAGACGTATTGTCTTTGTGGATTGTCCTAAGATTGGGTATATCCCCAAAAATATGATTCTGGTGTGTATAACCCATGAATGCTGGTGCGTATTGCCTATTTGTGGATTGTCCTAAGATTGGGTATATCCCCAAAAATATGATTCTGGTGTGTATAACCCATGAATGCTGGTGCGTATTGCCTATGATATGCATATGGTGCGTATTGCCCATGAATAGAAAATTGATGCGTATTGCATGTGAATAAGGACTGGTGCGTATTGCACATGAAAGAAGACTAGTGTGTTTTGCACATGAACGCAATATCGATGTGTATTGCATGTGATTTCGATTGGTACGTCTTGCTTATGCAATAAAGACTGGTACGTTTCGCACTTGAATAAAGGACGAGTGCGTATTTGCACGGAATTTGAATTGGTGCGTATTGCATGAAATTCAGATTGGTGCGTATTGCATGAAATTCAGATTGGTGCGTATTGCATGAAATTCAGATTGGTGCGTATTGCATGAAATTCAGATTGGTGCGTATTGCATGAAATTCAGATTGGTGCGTATTGCATGAAATTCAGATTGGTGCGTATTGCATGAAATTCAGATTGGTGCGTATTGCATGAAATTCAGATTGGTGCGTATTGCATGAAATTCAGATTGGTGCGTATTGCATGAAATTCAGATTGGTGCGTATTGCACATGCATAAAGGATGATGCGTATTGCACATAAATAAAGGACGTGTGTGTATTGCACGGAATTTAGAGTGGTGCGTATTGCCCGAAGCTCTCGAATTGAGAGGCAAGAATGCAAATAGCATGAGATGAAACAACAAACATGTGAAGACTTAGGAGAACTTCCTTTTTGTGATGTTTCATTTTTTACTTGTAATCTCGCATTTTCTTTTGTTCCTGTGTTGAGCAAAAGAAAGAGAAAAATTGTTAGTTTAAAGCAGTGGTTGGTTTGTGGCCTTGATGCTCCGATGACTTGACCATACTTCTAACCAATTTCTCCAACTCTACTCAAAATTCTTGGTTGAACAACCTTTGAAGCTTCCTCTTTGTTGATTCAGGGGTGTTGATCTTTTTGGTACTACCAAATATCATGGTGCGACTATATCGTGTTCCTTCACGAGTTTTCAGTGAAGATTTGAGGCGTTTTTAGTCCTTGCTTGAGGCATGTCAACTCAGCTTTACTTTTGGGAACCCGTTGTAAGTTTTGCAATCTTTTACCTTATTTGTCAAGAGATTATACTGAAAAGACTAGAGAAATTTCAGATTTAAGAGTGTGAAAAAAAAAAATTGGATCAAGAAAGATTATAAACTTAAGGAAGGACATTCCTTTTGAAGAAAAATGAGAAAGAGAACTTATTTGGAGGCACATGTCGACTTTGAGTGAACCATGACATGCACTTTGGACTTGACCCCGGATCCGCTTGAGTTGTCTAATTCTCAAATCTGAACCATTATCAATTTATAACTGATCTATGTATTCTTCATGTAGAGGTATCGAGAAACAGTGTTCTTTACAGATTTCTCCCAACTAGTCATTTTCATGATGTTCTCTTCTTTTATCTTAAGGTGCCCTGCAAGGGTTTTCACCGATAAGATTTTCTATATTGTCGTCTTATAGTGCCTATAAAGGTTTTCATCGATAAGACTTTCTTTTTTTTTCTTTTTTTTTGACTCGACAAAGTTGTCCTTGATGATCAATTGTCCGTGCAAGACACATCAAATTTATCATTCTCAGAGTTGATCAAAATGTTGGTTGCTAGAATAAAATCAAAAACGAAATCAATTTGACTCTATTCTATCAAAAAAGAAAAAACAAATGCCCCAGTTTTCTATAGATACTGGAATATTGATTATTTTTTTTTGGTATGACCGAACCCCAAAGGGTTGCCTACGTATCCTTCCGGAATCAGGTCAAACGCAGTTCAAATTTTTCGAAGAGAGGTCTTTTTTTTTCTTTTTTTTTTTAGGAGATGCCTTTGTTCTCTCAACCACAAACTTGTCACAGTATCTTAGAACGCATTAGATGTAGTATCTTTTGACTGTGTCCGTATTAACAATTATGCTTGTGATTTTTCCCTCCACATCAGTAAGGTGTAAGGTTCCTTTGGACAACACTTCCTTGATAAGATATGGACCTTGCCAATTTGAGGCAAACTTTCCCTTGGCTTCTTCTTGGTGTGGGAGAATGCATTTTAAGACCAGTTGACTTACTTCAAAGTGTCTTGGGTGCACCTTTTTGTTGTATGCACGAGCCATCCTTTGCTGATAAAGCTGGCCAAAACAGACGGCCGTCAATCGCTTCTCATCTATTAATGTGAGCTGCTCTAGTCGGGTTTTGACCCATTCAGTATCTTCAATTTCAGCCTCGACAATAATTCGAAGAGATGGAATTTCAACTTCTGCTGGTATCACAACCTCAGTCCCATACACCAGCATATAAGGAGTTGCACCAATCGAGGTGCGCACTGTTGTGCGATATCCTAAAAGTGCAAAAGGCAGCTTCTCATGCCATTGTCTAGTGCCCTGAACCATTTTCCTGAGAATCTTTTTGATATTCTTGTTGGCTGCCTCCACAGCTCCGTTGGCCTTTGGTCGGTATGGAGTAGAATTGTGATGCACAATTTTGAACTGCTCACATACCTCCTTCATCAAATTGCTATTAAGGTTTGCAGCATTATCTGTGATGATAGTTCTTGGGATACCAAAACGACAAATGATGTTTGAATGGACAAAATCCACGACCGCCTTCTTAGTGACTGCCTTGAAAGTGATTGCCTATACCCATTTAGTAAAGTAATCAATTGCGACCAAAATGAATCGATGTCCATTAGAAGCTTTTGGCTCAATTGGTCTGATGACATCCATTCCCCATGCAACAAAGGACCAAGGAGTGGCCATGGGGTGCAACTCTGAAGGAGGTGATTGAATGAGATCACCTTGAATTTGACATTGATGACATTTTTTCACAAAGCGAAAGCAATCCCGTTCCATGGTAAGCCAGTAATATCCTGCTCGGAGTATCTTTTTCGCAAGGACATATCCATTCATGTGTGGTCCACATACCCCAGCATGTACTTCATTCATGATCTTCTCGGCTTCTTCAACATCCACACATCTCAATAAGTTCAGATCTGGGGTGCGTTTATATAAAATTTCCCCGCTAAAAAGAACCACTAGCCAGACGTCTAATAGTTCTTTTTGGCTTTTATTGGCATGTTCGGGACATTTCCCTGTTTGCAAGAAATTCCTGATGTCTAGGTACCACGGCTCACCATCTGATTCTGCTTCCACAGTGTTACAATAGCCATGCTGGTTCCGAAGTTGAATCTCCAAGGGAGTAATACAAGTGTTTCCAGGAGGAAGAAGCTTGAGGTCTCGAGTTTTCCATTCACCTTGAGCTTGCCTAATAAGCAAATCAGAATCTCCCAGCACAATCAATTCTTGCACACCCAAATCTATTTCCATATTTAGACCCATGATGCAAGCTTCATACTCTGTTGTGTTATTTGTACAGCAGAAACGAAGTCGAGCTGTTGCAGGGTAATGTTGTCCTGTGGGCGATATGAGAATTGCCCCAATCCCTGTGCCTTTTTTGTTGATTGCTCCATCAAAGTATAATTGCCTGGCCTGATTTTCATCTGGATCTACTTCTTCAACTGAGTTAATCTCTTCATCTGGAAAATATGTATCCAGTGGTTCGTAGTCGCCATTGACTGGATTCTCTGCCAAGTGGTCTGCCAGAGCTTGAGCTTTCATTGCAGTTCGAGTGACATATATAATGTCAAATTCAGTGAGCAAGATTTGCCATTTCGCGAGTCTGCCAGTTGGCATTGGCTTCTGAAAGATGTACTTCAAAGGATCCATCCTAGATATGAGGTAAGTTGTGTAGGACAAAAGGTAATGCCTTAACTTTTGAGCTACCCAAGTTAGGGCGCAACATGTCCTTTCCAAGAGGGTGTACTTGACCTCGTAACTAGTGAATTTCTTGCTTAAGTAGTTGATAGCTTGCTCCTTCCTGCCTGTGGAGTCGTGTTGACCGAGAACGCACCCAAATGAATTGTCTGTCACTGAAAGATATAGAAAGAGAGGCCTATCAAGTTCAGGTGGGACCAATACGGGAGGTTTGGACAAATATTCCTTGATTTTTTCAAAAGCTTGTTCACAATCCTCCGTCCATCTGACAACAGCATCCTTTTTCAAAAGTCTGAAAATGGGCTCACAAGTGGTTTTGAGTTGAGCAATAAACCTGCTAATGTAGTTCAACCTCCCAAGTAGACTCATGACTTCGGTCTTATTTTTCGGGGGTGGCAAATCTCGAATGGCTTTTATTTTGGAAGGATCTAATTCGATTCCCCTTCTACTGACAATAAAACCCAGAAGTTTTCCAGATGGAACTCCAAATGCACATTTTGCTGGATTAAGCTTGAGATCATATCTTCGCACTCTTTCGAAGAATTTTCTCAGATCTTGCACATGGTCAACTTATGTTTTAAACTTGATGATTACGTCGTCGACGTATACTTCAATTTATTTATGCATCATATCATGCAACATAGTGGTCATATCCCTCATGTAAGTTGCCCCAGCATTTTTAAGACCGAATGGCATGACCCTATAGCAATAAGTCCACCATGAAGTGGTGAAATGAGTTTTCTCAGCGTCATCTTCGTCAATCAAGATTTGATGATACCCCGCATAGCAGTCCACAAATGATTGAATTTCGTTTCTGGCACAATTATCAACTAGAATGTGGATATTAGGCAAGGGAAAATTGTCTTTTGGACTAGCTTTGTTCAAATCCCGATAGTCAACACAAACTCTTGTCTTTCCATCCTTTTTCGGCACAAGAACAACTTTTGCCAACCAAGTAGTGTAACGAATGGTTTGGATCACATTTGCATTTAGTTGTTTCATGATTTCTTCCTTGATTTTTTCACTCACGTCTGGTTTGAATTTTGTTCTTTTTTGTTGGACGGGTGGAAAATCAGGATGAGTGGGCAACTTATGGACCACTAAATCAACACTCAAACCTGGCATGTCATCATAGGACCAAGCAAACACATCTTTGTATTCAAACAAAAGTTGTATTATGGCATCCCTAATTTCCTTTTTGACATGGAGACTTATTTTTATTTCTTTGACTTCCTCATTACTTTCCAAATTGATGGCCTCAGTTTCAGAAAGATTAGGCTTAGGTTTGTGCTCAAACTGTTCCAATTCCCTATTAATTTCCCTAAAAGCCTCTTCTTCATCATATTCAACCTCTCGACTCGGGGATTCAAGAATAAACAACTCTTTGAGATCTGGGAGTGAATTCCGCATGCATGTCATGTTATCAAAGCCGGCATTTACAGACTGAAAAATGGAGAATAAGAATCAAGGGAGGGAAAAGACAAAATTTTACTATGAAACTGGAATTTCATTTCATTGAAATTAAAAAAGGATAGAAGGGTTGACATTAAAACAAAACACTTTCAAATATTTGGATCACAACCCTGACAACAACAAAATACAAAAAAGTAGCAAAACAAACTACCAAGACTCCTTCCTTATGGGGAAAGGAGTGGCTTCCCAATTGTTTAACTCAAAACCTGAGCCCACGAGCTGCACATCGGCATGAATTGTACCTTCACCAACTTGGACCATGTTTACTTCACAAAACAACTGACTGAGATCCTGAATAACCTCTTCAATGTCTTCATGAGTAAAGGAAGCTTCCATTTCTGGACCCTGAGGCTTGATAAAGGAATGATAAATATGGGAAATTAGTTGTGGCAACGCCCAATCAGTCCTTTTGTGGTTCTTAGTCTCATCTCCATTTCTCTTGCTTTGTTTGTATCCGAGGCCAGAGGTGCCTTGGTTCCCTAAAAGAGTAATGGGATCCACAATTCCTTGTGAACATAGTCCGAAACCTTTATCATGTTGATAACCATATTTGAGCATTGTCGTTGCTACCATTAAAGAGGAAGAAAGGAGATATGGTTGGATAATGGGGTCTCCTTCTCTAAAGCGATCGACTTATACGGCCTCACAAGACTGGTAAACAATGGAATCACATCCTTCTTTTGCCTCAATGTATGGAATGGAGGGATCTATGTAAATAGGCAAATCATCTTCCCCATGCATAATGATTTCCTGATGGTTGTGTTCAAACTTAACAACTTGATATAGAGTTGATGGGACTGCCCGAGCCATGTGGATCCATGGCCTTCCCAATAGAAAATTATAAGATGTGTCCATGTCCATTACTTGGAACACAATCATAAAGTCCACCGGTCCAATTGTCATGTTTAACTTGATTTCTCCAATGGTATCCCGCCTTGAGCCGTCATAAGCTCGAACAAATATATTGCTGGGGCGATTCTGTCAAGGCTAATTTTCAAGTTTTGCAACGTAGAGAGAGGACATATGTCTACCCCGGATCCTCCATCTATCATGACCCTCTTTACATAGTACCCTTCACATTTCACTGTAAGAAGCAATGCTCTGTTATATCCAGCTCCCTCTGTGGGTAACTCATCAATAGTGAAAGTGATGGTGTTTGACTCAAATATGCGCTTGGCCATTTTCTCTAACTGATTTACCGTGGTCTCCTTCGATACATGTGCTTCATTCAAAATCTTATTCAACACACGACGATGTTCTTCTGAGTGCAAGAGTAGAGACAACAATGAAATTTGTGCCGGGGTTTTCTTCAATTGTTCCACAACAGAGTAATCTGGAACCTTTATCTTTTTTAGAAACTCTTCTGCTTCTTCCTCACTAACTACTTTCTTCAGTGGTACTTGGATATTTTGAGTCATCTTCCCTTTTCTTAATTCTTCTGGAGAATAACATCTTCCAGAGCGTGTCAGCCCTCCTGCTTCATCAACCTCTTCAATAATCTCCTTTCCTCGGTAAACCACTGCGATTTTGTTATAGTTCCAAGGGACAACCTTTGAATCAGTTACCGGAAGCTGTTGGACAGGCTTAACAAAGATAGGTCCTTTTGCCAAGCAATTTTGGTCCTGTTGTGTTAATGAAAAACCTTTCGATACATACAACTTTGGCATACCTGCTCGAACTTCAATCCCCTTCGAAACCCCCGGGACACACAAAACTTTGGTATCAAGGTTGACACCTTCCACACTCAAAGATGCAACTGGTTCTAAACTCTTTATCGGCTTGTTTTCCTCTCCGATATTCCTAAACAACTTTCCCATTTTGCCAAGGAGTTTGTACTCTTGATCATCGTAGATCATACCCACTAAATTGTTTTGAGTTGGAAGTGGGTTATTAGTCATATTTGGAGTGTTTTGATCATCTGTCACAACGACCACTCCATGATCAATTAGCTTCTCTATCGCCCCCTTCAAGGTCCAACAATTATCAGTGTTGTGTCCTAGGCCCCCTGAATGATACTCACATCTTTCATTGGCTTGGAAACCTGGAGCAGTTGGATTCAGACAATGTGGTGGGATAGACCCAATCACTCCTATCTTTCTTAACTTTTGAAATAAGCTGGAGTATGACTCTCCCAATAGAGTGAATTTCCTTTTTTGTCCTTGCTCTTGAGCATAATTTTGCATAGAAGGAGGGTTGTAAGGGACTTGATAGGGTGGTCGTTGTGGGCGAAGGTTTCCTTGAGTTGGGGCTCGAAAATGTGGGCGATTGGGAGAATGCACATATGACTGGGCATTGAAGACCGTGTATGGAGATGGAGATACTGGATATTGAGGGACATAAGGGTAGTAATGTTGAGGATAGCTAGATTGTCCTTGAAGTGGTAGGTAAGGACAATTAGAATTCCTTTGAGCACCCCTTGACCCTGATGTTAGCGAAAAAACTTCCTCTTTTCTTTTACGATTTCCAAAACTACCTGAACCACCTTGAATGGCCTGTGTGGTAGCTTTGATTGCTACCTGGCTCATGATCCTTCCTGTTTTGAGACCACTTTCGACCATTTCTCCAATTTTGATTGTCGTGTGAAACGGTCTTCCCATTGCGGCTGTTAGGTGGTGGAAATAGTCAGGAACTGGAGCCCCTCTGCAGAAATCAACCAATTCTTGCTCATCTAAAGGTGGTTTGACTCGGGCTGCTTATTCCCTCCATTTGATAGCATACTCTTTGAAGCTTTTATTTGGCTCTTTTCTCATATTAGAGAGTGTATTGCGATCGGGCATAATGTCGACATTGTACTGAAATTGTCTAACAAAATCTTGAGCCATATCATCCCAGATGTGCCAGTGGGAGATCTCTTGGTCTATAAACCATTCTAAGGCAACACCAGTCAGGCTCTCACCAAAATAAGCCATGAGCAGTTCCTCTTTACCCCCTGCACCTCTAAGTTAATTGCAGTATCTCTTAAGGTGAGTTATGGGATCACCGTGCCCGTCATACTTATCAAACTTAGGGGTTTTGAATCCAGGTGGCAAGTGGACATTTGGGAACATACACAAGTATTTGAATGCGACACTTTTGTGCCCTCCTAGCCCTTGCATACTTTTCATGTGTTGCTCAATGCTTTTCATTTTCTTTAATATTTCCTCTTGCTCTGAGACTTGAGGGGCCCTCTCAACATCAATAGGGGATCCGAATTGTACAGAATTAGGGACCCCGAATGCTATCCCATGAGTATAGTATTGCTCTGGATGGATGGTGAACTGTCCGTCTTGAGCTGCTCTCTGCGTCACAGTTGGTTGTGGGAGAGTATAGACCGGTGCAGCTGTCGCGACAATGGGATTATTCCTGAATGGCATGCCTTGAGGGCGTCTTGTTGATGGTCCGGCCCCACAATTATCAAATGGACCATACCCCAGAGGAAAGAAAGGGATCTGATATCGGGACCTGAGAAGACGAAGATCGGATACTAGTGATCTCAGGAAAACCGGGGATAGACGTTGGTGGTTCTTGGCCATTGGCCCCAGGCTTGCCACAATTGTGCCATAACATGTCTCAATGTCCGGTTTTCTTCAATAGTTGTTGACTCTCTTGTCGTTGGATCAACTGGAGTATCCACTGGGTTCACCACAGTTTCAGTATGCTTGTCATTGACGCTCTTACCTTAGACCTGGTAAAGTACGGGTGTTCTGCCAGTTTACCACAAACCAACCACCGAAAGCTTACTAAAGAGATGAATGAACAAACTTGTTAGGGGTTAGACATCAATCACACATTTGGTAATCACATAGTAACAAGAGTTCAGAAGGCCATTATCTCATCCCAGCTTTGCTTCGCTCATTGTCTTCCCCTTTTTTTTTCTTTTTTTTTTTTTTAAAGTTTTGATCGAACCCTTTGGAGGTTGCCTACGTTCATGTCGCCGCATGAATCAGATCATTACGTAGTTCAGAAATTTAGACAACTCAACAACATTAATTTAGACAAGTGAAACCAAACCCTTTCATTCATTTCCAAAAACATTAAGCAAAATGACAAAACCAATAGGTTTAAACACAACCATGATCAACATGATCTCTCTGAACACCAAACTTTAAACTGAAACACTGAGTTGTAAAAAAAACAAGATAAAACAAACAAACTAACTAACTAAACAACTAAACTCTTCTTCAATCTTCATCATCTTCCTTGGGCTTTCTTTGTCCTCCTAAGGTCACGTACAGATTCAATAACACCTTCGGCAGATAGGGAACAATAGCCCGTGCTTGCTCAGCCACTTCTGGATCATTCATGTGACGATGATTTTTAATAACATAGGAGGTTTGTTCTGCCAGCTTTGTTCCGCCAACTGATGAATTTGACGCCTAGCCTTTCCCATATTTTCATAGCAGTTATTCAACCAAACCTGATGATCACCAAGATTGTTCCTTAAGAGGGCCTCTCACTCCTCTGTCGCTTCAAGTTGATGTCGAAGTGTTGCTCTCTCAATGATCATTTGTCTTTGCCCTCTTCTATATCGACACACTGATTGATTTTTCTTTTATGTTCTTCTAACTTTGCTTTAAGCTGATCATGTAAATGCATCCAACATGACCTTTCTTTCTCAAATTTTTCCTTCCGCCGCTTAAGTTCTCCCCTTTGGTAGTTCACGACCTCTTCAGATGCCACTACGTCCCTCTTCAATCGAGAAATTTCAAAACTCTGCTCCTTTTTTATTTGTCGGGCCAAGTGAATTCTACTATCCAACTCTTTCTCTAAACGGGCCAATTTCCCCTCTGCATGTTTCAATTCCCCTTCCGCATCTTGTAACTCCAACTAAATATTTCTTCCTCTTTGGACTTGAACTTCTTGCCGGGCAATGGTGGTTTTGGCCTTCTCCAACTCTTTTTCCAACTGTCTTATGATGTGCTGGTCTTTTCTTTTTCTGCTGGATCCTTCGGGAATGTCACCAAATGTTGTTGGATCACGAAACCACGATAAGTACCCAGGCACCACTTTTCCTTTATCTTGCTCCACCACCATTTCACTTACCTCAGAAATTATACTCCCAAACTAGATCTTCAAAATATCAGTGCTATCAAAGGCAAAACCTGGCGGGGTGTCAAATACAAATCTACTCATATCATCATTTGGTGGGATTTCTTGTACTCTAGCCAGCTGACGCATAACCCGAAGTGGGGCATAGGGTTGAACACCTCTAAACCCAATCAACACAAGAAACGAGATACCACTAGACATGCATATGACATCCTTAGCTGGGAACCAGTAATAATTCCACACTATTTCATCAGATGTGATCATCGAAATTTTCTCTTCACACGCTATAATTCCTTTTGAAAAATCAATTTTTGCTTCTCTTTCCTTATGGGAGGAAACATAATTACACCAGTTTGGAGTGAACCTGGGTGCACGATCATGGTGATAAAGATGCTCCAAAAACCATATTTGCAACAAGATGTTGCATCCTTCAAAGTACATTTCCCCATTTATGCATTTAGTCAATGCACATAACATATCTGCCAGGATCATAGGAATAATAGTAGGACTCTCCATTGTGGTCAACGCCTTCACCACCCCAGCCAGACGAATATCGATATGCTTGTCTCGTTTGGGGAAACAATGAGCCCCAAAAACGCGACCATGAAGGCAAAACATCCATTCGCCTTCCAAGCCTCTTCACCCCCTTGGTTGCTAAGTTGGTTCTGATAGTTTTTAAATTCATCTTTTTGGTCATACCTCTCGTATAGAAAGTCCAATGAAACCTAACCATTTTTCAAACTCTCCTTCTCTACTTGATTGATCTTGAGGAGTTGCAAGAACTTTTTGGCAGCAACGTTCTTTGGAATTATAGGTTTTTTGTTGCGGAGATCAGCATCCCGAACACTGGACCCCTTCCCCATGAAGCTGGCGATTTCTTCCAGAGTTGGTGTCATCTCGAAGTCAGAAAATCGAAATACATTATTTTTGAATCTCAGAAAGGAATCAATGCCTCGATCACATCCCTTCTAGGGTCAATCTCCATTATATGCATTAGATGTTCCAAATGTTCTTTTACTCTCCTTTGCTCATGACTCCCCATGTCTGTCCACCATCGCCATAAATTCTTCGGTATTGTGTCAACGATCATGAACTCTGGAATTCCTTCACTTCTAGGCCTTTTGGAACCCTGTCCTTTGGTCGGAGGTGCCATTTTTACCTTTGAATAGAGTCCAATTAATGTTTTATGACAAACTCTAACTGATGGAGGAAAGAAGAGTAAAAAAAATTTATTAAAAAAAAGAAAAACAAAATACCTCTTTTTACAAACACCGAACCCGAGAAGGGATGCCTACCTATCTCATTTTAGTGAGAATCAGGTGTGTGTAGTTCATAAAAAAAAACTCACACTTGAAAGACTATCCTTTTTATTTCAACCTCTTTAATTATAATTTTTTTTTTAATAAAATAAAAAATTGAAAGACAAAGCTATTATAAAGCTGGTCAACAATATAAAGGCCTTCTGAACAAATTATTTTCACGTAACACATAAAATGAACATGTTGGTCTAGAGTGGGCACATAACTTAGATTTTCTAGGTCAAATGCAAATGATACAAATAAACGTAGCCTACCAGAGATAGTTTTTGCTAGGTTTAGCACTTTATTTGAAAGGTGTCTAGACTGGCTTACTCGAGTGGACAACTCGAGCCGGAGAGAGTCAGCCTTACCGGTAGCAGAGCTATTCCGGCTTAACTAGTGGTCCAACCCCGCCTAATATGTGTGACAAACCTAGAACCAGGAGCGTAACCGCACACTGGCTCATCCTAGACAGAAGTCCCGTGGAGCGTATTCGCACACACAATGTATAACAAAATTCTAGAGATTCAGAGGGTGTGCGAGATGAGTCAATTTTTATACAATTACACAATATCAAAACAATGAATCATTGAAATAGCGCAATTAGTCAAAAATTTTTTTTATCCAAATATTCAAAATAGCCAAATATAGTCAATGTACAAAACTCGAATTCTAAAGAGAGTCCCCAGCTGAGTCGCCAGATCTGTCATACCACTTCTCTATTTACAATAGTTATGGATATGACGGGTTTTTTTTTTAAACAAAGAATAAAAATAAAATATAAAACTAAAGAAAAAATGATTTTTAAAAAAAATCAAAGTCGCCACTTGAAAATGACTTTTTTAGGTGTTTCAAGTCACCTAGTAATTTTTAATTTTCAGAAAAAGAGAAAAAAAATCTTTTTTTTTTAGTCTACGAAAACAGAGATTGGATAACGAAATCTATTGATCGGAGGGAAGGTGTGAGGCACCCCCTGAGTCCCGTGGTTCTAGCACGGTCGCTTTATTAACTCATGTTTGGCTAAAATAATTTTTGGATAAAAGACTAAATTTGTGATACTTACTAATCTTTATTTTTTTTAATAAAAAAAATGATTGACCTAGGAGGGTAACCGCACACAAGATCACTTTTTTAGAAAGAATACACACCAAGGATCATAACCGAACACATGGTGGTATTTAAAGTTTATTTTATTTGTCTAAAAAAAGATTGATAATTCATGACTCAAATTTTATTTAACAACGAGAAAAGAAAAAAAAATGAAAAAAGAACTTGTTGCAACATATAGATTTGAACAGAGATTTTTTATTTAAAAGTAAAAAACAAATAAATATATTAAGTGTCACTACTTGATGATAACAAAATAAAAATAAAAATATATATATTCTTTTCTTTTTTTTTAAATAATGACTAGGCCCCTTTTAAAACAACTAGTGATATACTAAAAAAAAAATTATATTGATATATTTTCAGAAAAAACGATCACTTTAATAAAATTTTCAGTTTTTCATAAATTGGTCATATGTTTTCTTTTGAAAGAAAATTACAAAAATAGCCTATTTTATCTAATAGTTAAATTACTA